CTGTGCCTGCCACGAAATCTGCACATGGAGGTTCACAAAGTGCTGCAGCTGCCACGAAATCTGCGCATGGAGGTTCACAAAGTGCTTCGCCTGCCACGAAATCTGCGCATGGAGGTTCACAAAGTGCTGCGCCTTCCACGAAATCTGCACATGGAGGTTCACAAAGTGCTGTGCCTGCCACGAAATCTGCACATGGAGGGAGGTTCACAAAGTGCTGTGCCTGCCACGAACTCTGCGCGTGGAGGTTCACAAAGTGCTGTGCCTGCCACGAAATCTGCGCATGGAGGTTCACAAAGTGCTGTGCCTGCCACGAAATCTGCACATGGAGGGTTCTCAAAGTGCTGCGCCTACCACGTCTGCACCTCAAGCTTTACAAAGTGCTGTGCCTGCCACGAAATCTGCACATAGAGGTTCACAAAGTGCTGTGCCTGCCACGAAATCTGCACATGATGCTAACTGGAGCTAGAGCTAACTGGAGCTAGAGCTAACTGGATGATGAGTGGTGTATGATGAGTGGTGTCTGATGAGTGGTGCATGATGAGTGGTGCATGATGAGTGAGTGGTGTATGATGAGTGGTGTCTGATGAGTGGTGTCTGATGAGTGGTGTATGGTCAGTGGTGTATGATGAGTGGTGTATGATGAGTGGTGTGATGATGAGTGGTGTATTGATGAGTGGTGTATTGATGAGTGGTGTATGATGAGTGGTGTATGAACAGTGGTGTTTGATGAGTGGTGTATGATGAGTGGTGTATGATGAGTGGTGTATTGATGAGTGGTGTATTGATGAGTGGTGTATTGATGAGTGGTGTATGATGAGTGGTGTATGATGAGTGGTGTATGATGAGTGGTGTATGATGAGTGGTGTATGATGAGTGGTGTATTGATGAGTGGTGTATGATGAGTGGTGTATTGATGAGTGGTGTATGAACAGTTCTTGAATGTCCGTAACACGGAAGTTTCGTACACTAAACTTCCTTTGACTAGCATGGACGCAGGATAGCTCACGCTCCTCGCCTGAGGGCGGGGGGAAACTTCCTTGAGGAAGCGCTCGCACTATTCATTTGGTTCCTAGATCTTGATCTTAGAGAACTTAAGTTTCTCCCTACTACTTAATTAAGTGCTGACGTCCGTGATGTGCATTTTATTGGGATGGTGGTCTAGTGTGTATGGCGTGGATCCATTGTTGGCAAGGCATGAGCAACATGACAGCCTATGTGGCTGACCAGAAAAGGTCGAGGTTGCGTGGATTGACATCTGGCTCAAATCAAAGGGTGAGTAGAAACGCTACCAGTAGCTTTTTGTTTCTAGTAGCATGGCCAGGAGCGACTAGTAGCTTCTTGCTCCTAGTAGCGACACATAAGGCATTCCCAAGTCCAACTCATTGAGGTCTGAAGTACTTCAACGACCCCATGCTGCAATTCCTCCGCCAGGCTGCTTTTCCATAGCGCTCAAAGCGCTATTGGCGCCAATCGCTGAGCTCATACCGGCGTCTCTTGCAGCGAACCTACGAGGAAACTCCTAGTAGCGTCCTTGCTCCTAGTAGCGATGCCCTTTGCTACTAGTAGCGAACCTTGTTACTAGTAAGGCACTTGTTACTACTAGCGTGGCACCTGTTACTACTAGCTTCTTGTTACTAGTAAGGCACTTGTTACTAGAAGCGATGCACTTGTTCCTAATAGCTTCTTGCTCCTAGTAGTAAGGCCAGGAGCCCTGAATGCTTTCGAGACAACAAGGCATGAACAACACAGCTTGTAGCTTCACAGTCTGCTTTGACGAGGCACAGCAGTTGGAGAGCGACCTGGAATCGATCAGCACAATGCAAAAGAAGGCAAGTTTGGCAAATGGCAAATATCCTCTGCTTTGAAATTAAGGCTCCTTTCTTTCAACTACTGTACAACAAATTTGGAGGGACCAGGGAAGGAGAGAGGAACAATCCAACAAAGGTCCAAAGAAAATGACAACTAATGGTGGAAGTCAATTCCCGGTGAGCGCAAGTGCGCCATGCTGTTGAAAGGACACAGCGAACTGAACAGGACAGGAAGCGCCATTCTGTTAGTTTCTTCTTAATTTCTTGTTTCATTTGTGGTTGGCTGAGAGGCCCGAAACGACAAGGGCTGCCTGCCATTGACCACCCTGCTCACAAGCATCAATGGCTGCATTGAAGCTGATCCTGAGAAGAACGTAATGGACAGAACGCAAACAAAAGGATTGCAAAAGCAAGACCAAAATGATCAGAAAACAATGGAGAATTGGCGTAGATAATTGCAAACTGCCTTCCCTCTACAGAACTGAACAAAGCCCTTGTTTAGAATATGGTTGGAAGCTATTCGGTTGGAGGCCATTGCTAGTAGGTTGCAGGCCATCGCTTCTAGGTCGGATGCTATTAGGTTCAGAACATGGCAACGCCATTCTGAAAGTTGTCCTCAGATTATGCTAAACTTAGGCCTCGCGACTCATCCATGGGCGTTTGCCAAAGCAACGCCAAGGCTTGCTCCCAGCGGCCACCACATGCCTTCAAAAAAAAGTTCCCAGTCACTGTTTTGAAAGACCTGACGACCGATGGTCACACAAAAGTTTTCGGACTCGGCTCTTATCCAGTTCACTTCGGGCACAGCCAGGCACAGCACAAACAAGGTAAGGCACTTGTTCCTAATAGCTTCTTGTTACTAGTAGTAAGGTACCTGTTACTAGAAGCGATGCACTGGTTACTAATAGCGATGCACTTGTTACTACTAGTAAGGCACTTGTTACTAGAAGGTAACCCCAAAGTAACCTTATTGTTTCTGTCTCTTGGATCACTCCATCGGCTAACTCTCTGAAAGACTCTCGCCAGTTCAATTAAGACGAGTTGCGCTGATGGCAGCATTGTACACAACCTGAATCGTTCTGGACAAGTTGCAGGCCAACGCTGAACATGCTTAGATGTTCCTTGAAGAGGGATAAGGATGGATCAATTGAGCACATCCTTCGTTGTAAGATTTGTAAGTGTGCCCACTTGAGCTCTGGATGTATTTCACTCTCTCCGCCTTTAGCGGGGGAGCTTCCTTGAAGAAGCGCTCGCACTGTTCATTTGGTTCCTAGAAGTAGCTTCTTGTTACTAGTAGCGATGCCAGGAGCCCCTAGTAGCGTCCCTGCTCCTAGTAAAGCTTAACTATATTATGCTTGAAATGCTACCAATACAACTTGTAGTCTAGATTCTGCATTTAGCCTTGCAGGGAGTGCAATAGGTGCTTAAGAAACTGCATGTTTTTGGTCTGTTCCAAATGCTCAAGCGTCTCCGCAGAGCGCCAATTTACTTCGGCACCACATATATTTACCACCTGATGTGGTGGAAAGGGGCACTGCAGCTGACACAGCTGACACAGCAGTTTCCCCAAGAAATCTACCAACCAAATGATTAATGCAAGCGCTTCTTCAAGGAAGCTTCCCCGCCCCTGCGTCCAGTTGCTAGAAGTGAACTAGTCACCCTCACTTAATTAAGTAGGGAGGGGAAGCGATGCCCTTTGTTCCTAGTAGCGTCCTTGCTCCTAGTAGCGATGCCAGGAGCCCTTAGTAGCGGCGGGGCCTCGGGCTGTTCAAGAAAATCCCGCCTGGTTTGCCAGATTGCTCTTTACAGCCTCCTGCAAGAGCTGCTGTGCAGGATTGTAGCGCAGTGCGCGGCCACAGGCACCTTGAGCTCTGAATAGAATATCTGAAAAGTAAATTGGATGCAAAAAAGGTCAACAGGTTTTCTTGGGTCCCTTTCATAACGCCTCTGAAGCCGTTAAAGTTTGAGCTGTGCTGTCTTCGAGGCGAGCCACTGATGCCGGTACTGTAGCTCACTGCATCTGCCTGAAGATGGTAACAACCGAAGTGCAGCACGCTTTATCCTGCATCCAGTTACTAGTGAGCTTGTTAGCAGGATAACCCTTATACTGAATCAAGTCGCCGCCTAGTTAAGTTTTCTTGAAATCTAGGAACCGAATCATTAGTGCGAGCGCTTCCTTGAAGAAGCGTGAGCCATCCTGCGTCCTAGGTAGTAGCTTACTTGCAGCTAGTAGCTACCTCTCCCTTACTTAATTAAGTAGGCGCCTACTTAATCAAGTACGGAGGAGGGAGAACGGGCTAAACAAAAAAGAACAAACAAACACAAAAACTACAATATAAAAACATAAAGCAAAGGAAACACACAAGGAAAACTACAAAGAAGAAAAACACAGCAAAAACAAAGAAACACAACAAGAAACAAACATAATTGTTTACTACTAGGAACAAGAAGCTACTAGTAGCAAAGGGCATCGCTACTAGGAGCAAGGACGCTACTAGGGGCTCCTGGCCTTACTACTAGGAACAAGAAACTAGTGTTGGGAAACGCAAGAAACTTTCTGGAACCCCCTGGGCACCTCCAGGAGTTGCGTTGACAAAGCTGCGAGCAAATCTAAGGCTTTTGTCCACTCGGCAAATGCCATGGCCGCATTAACCGAATAAAGATCCGGCTTCAAATGTAGTTGTGGGAGCCTCCAACGAAGCATTGCTGGTGACACCCTCACTTGTTCTGAAATTGCAGTGCCATGACTAGAATGAGTCTCTATCAAACAAAACAGAACAAGAAGCTGCGGTAGCCAATTCCAAGACGTCAAGTCTCACATTACGTCATTTCTGCGTGAAGGAGAAGAAAAGGAAAACGGTCATGAACTCCGGGGGAGGGGTAGGCCGCTAAGTATCTAATAGGTATGCTCAGTAGGAGTATGTAAGAGTATGTTCACGAGTCATAGCTACGCTCCGGAGGGATAGCTCACGCTTGAAGGAAGCTCGCGCCCTCAAGTAGCGATGGCCTCAACTTACGTCCAATACACATCTTGTCTTAATCTAAAACAAGGTCACGGGTGCCACAACGGCCCCGCTGTTTGTGCATGTTTATTGAAATAAGATTTGCTCAAAATGCAGGTTTCGTATCGCTTTTTGTTTTCGTATGTGATTTACCTGACTTTCTTCATTATTATTGTTATAGCTGTCGCCGCTGTTAGCGACCCCAAAGGAAATCGCGTTTTTTTGTGGGGTTGGGTTGGGGTGGGGCGGGGCATGTGAACGTTCGCTTGCACTTGCGTCACGAAGTTGATGCTTCGTGGTTGATGTGGGGTGACGCAAAACGCGTCGATCAATATGTCCGCAGTGTTCAGTTTCGGTGGAACAACAGAGGAAATTTGCTTGAGGCGTTGGCCCGAACGTGGCCGCAAGTGTAAAGAACATACACCTGCAAAACGCATGTGCGCCAAAAAGGAGTGCACTTTCTGCTCTTCCCCATTCTAAATTCCACGTTACAAGTGCCGTCCCTTCTAAAAAATGGGATGAAAGCACATATGATGCAACCTCTCCCAAATGAAAAAATTAAAAAAGTGGGAGGTTTTGAGCACTGTCCACTTCGGCGCTGTGCGAATCGCACAGGGTCACTATTAGCGGCGGTACCTTGTTATTACTTACTACTATTATTATTTGAAAGGTTTTAGATGGATCTCCATGCCTCGCCAAAAGCTTCAGCGCAAGTGAGTTGCCCACCCGGCTCAAGCGACCTGGAGCTCTCAGGTAAAGAAGCTGGAAAGGGGAACAAGCGCAAAGACAATGAAGAAAGCCAGGATCCAACCTACAAGCTACGGCCTCCTACCCAATAGCGATGGCCTCCAACCTAATTGAGATGGCCTACTAGCTAGTAGTAGAGCTACGAGAATCTTGCTTGTCAGAACGAAACTTGAATTCTTGGACGTTGGGCAAAGAGGCTGATGATGCTATTGCAGCTGACGATGTCCAGCTTCATCCTGCCCAGGCCAAGCTCTGTTTCCGTTGTTTTTGGAACACGTCGTGCGTTTTTTGAATCGTACTTTGAAGTAAGAGATTCATGATGCAATTTGAACAGAGGACAAGAACTGGTGCCCAACCGCACTTTTCAATGATCTACAGTTTGAAGGATGCCTTGCAAAACAGCAATACGGTCAAAGGCAATGAGGCTTCGTGTATCAAATTGCTTGGGAAAGCTTCGACTAAAACTTTTGAGACAGCACGCCATTCATCGTACATGCACTTTCATACGCACTTTTTGAACCTGCTTCTTTGTGACTTCTTGACAAGACGATTCGCACCTGAAGCGAACCATCTGCTCCAATTTGGCCAAAGAATGATCCCAAGGGCCAGCCTTGAGGATCATCTCACTCTCCTTAGGGAAGAATCAGAAAGGAAGAAAGACCTTTCTTATTCCTTTGGGGGTTAGCCGGTAAGAGGAATAGCTAAGAAGTAACTAAGGTAGAAAAGTAAGGGGAGAGTAAGACTAGCTAGACTCTAGCCTACTTAGTGACTTAGTAGTTCGTAGCAGACTTTTAGGGAAACTGAACATAGCAACTTAAGATTGAATGAACACACAGAACGGCAACTTCGTTCCCGAACTCTCCAACTGACAGTCCAAACATCATCAAAAGCATTGCAGGTCACCTTTGGCTCCAAGCTTGAAATTAACATATTGCAACATTCTGAAACCCAAAACCGATTCCATCCTGGACTCAAAGCAAAGTGCATATCCAAGATACACGGTCTGCAGCTTCCAACGAAGATAGCAATGCGAAGCCCAAAGGCCAATGGCCTGCCAATTCCTCATTAAGCTCTGGGTCTCTTCAATCCCTTTTCAATTCAACGTCAGACTGTCAAACTTGTAGAAAAGCAAAGAGGTTGATCCAATAGACTTCATTTGTGTTGTGTTTTTGGTGTGTGCCACGTTGCTAAAGCAAACGAGGCCGAGTTCAAGCTGATGGCATCAGCGACCAAACGCATTCGCTGCATGTCTCTAAAAAAACTCAATGAAACCCGCCACAGATCTCCTGCGCTTTGAGCTTCCAGCGTTTCAGTGCGACGTAAAAGGGTACGGACTGAAGGGACATGTAGCAAAAACACTCCAAAAAACAACGTAGCAAAAGCGACACGCCGATCCAAACCCATCCTCCGCTCAATGAATTCATGGCAGTATTAAAGCTCACTGTGCCTGACATCCATGCGAAAAGGCCGTGGAACATCTGTAGAACATTGAAAACATCAGCTACTAGTAAGGCACTTGCTACTACTAGTAAGGCACTTGTTACTAG